GAGTTGAGCGAGGAGAAAGAGCAGCAACAGCTGGAGGAGCTGCCCGAGGAGGAGCAGCTGGAGCAGCAAACTAGCAACGCCTCTGAGCAGCTGGAAGAGACCGACATGGACCACGAAATGGTCGAGGAGGAGCAGGCAGCGGCACAGGAGGCCAGTGCGCAACAGCAGGAGTTGGCTGACAGCTCGACGACTCCGCCGCGTAGTCCCACGCCTCCTGAGCTGGTGCCCAAACTGGAGCGTGCCGATTCGCCAGCAACGCCGCCCTCTGTCGCTGTCACGCCCAGTCCGCCGCCAACACCTACGCCACCACTGGTGCTGCCCAAGCTGCGTCTCAATGCGCTGCTTGCCTCCGATCCGGCTCTGAAACCCGATGCCAAGGAGCTGAATCTCGAGCCACGCCTGCTCGGTCCGCCGCCACAGCTAGCCAAGCCCGAACAGCAGCAGCAGAGTTTGCCCGATCCCAGCAGTCTGGTGGAGCCGCTGCTCAAGCCGGCGCGTTTCATGTGCCTGCCCTGCGGCATAGCCTTCAGCTCGCCCTCGACGCTGGAGGCGCACCAGGCCTACTACTGCTCGCATCGCAACAAGGATGCCGACGAAGAGTCAGCTGCCGTGGACAAGACCACAGCCGCAGCTGGCGTCGGTGGTGCCAATCCGAATGCCAACAGCAGCTCCAGTGGCGGCGGCTCCGGCTCGGAGCCACCCGCCAAGGTGGCGCGCACGGGCAAGCAGTACGCCTGCACGCAGTGCTCCTACAGCGCCGACAAGAAGGTCTCCCTCAACCGGCACATGCGCATGCATCAGACCTCGCCTGCCGCGCCCACCCTGAACAGCCTTTCCGGGCTGGCGGCCAACGGTGTGGTTGCTGCCGCCGCCGCCGCGGCCGCTGCGGCCAGTGCGCTCGAGGAGAGCTCTAGTCAAGTGAGTTGGTTGACAAGCAGGTCAGCGCCCAGCCCAAAAATAATTAACGCGCCTCCCTCGCCCCCTTCGCAGCAAATCGATCGCTACTGCAGCGACTGTGATATCCGCTTCAACAACATCAAGACCTATCGCGCCCACAAGCAGCACTACTGCAGCTCCCGGCGCAGCGATGGCCAGCTGACGCCCAAGCCGGAGGCGAACGCTAGCAGCAACACCGGCGGCTCTGCAGCAGCAGCTGCGGCCGCAGGAGCTAAGCACAGTGGGGCCCACAGTCCGCAGACGCGCAACAAGACGCCGACTCCTGCAATGGTCGCTGCTGCGGCGGCTGCGGCGGCCGCTGCTGCAGCTGCCGCCTCGCTGCAGGTGGCACCGCCGCAACCCTTCCTGGCACTGCCCACCAATCCGATCATCATAGTGCCCTGCTCGCTAATACGCGCCGCCAGCCTCATACCCGGCCCACTGTGAGTATAGCTTGGACTGAATTGGAGACTTGGTTAGCTAATCCCTTAACCTAATCTGTTTCCAATTTTCATCCCATTCACAGCACCACCTCCACGTCGGGCATTGTCAATCCGGAGTCCACATGCTTCACCCTTGACAATGGCGCCCTCAAGCCGCTGGCCACGGCGCTCAATATCAATGCGCTAGCGGGCAATGCCACGCCCACGCCCACAGGCACGCCCATGCCCAGTGGCAATCAGCTGAGCATGCCCGCCCCGGAACCAGAGCGGCCCAGCGTCCCGGAGACGGAGCCCAAGACCAGTCCGCCGGAGCCCAAACGCAAGGAGGCCACTGGCATGCGGTAAGTCCAGGCTTAAACCTAAAGTAACCCCAACTTACCCTCCCCCTTGTAATCGCCTCTCACAGCGATACCACGCCCCTTGACCTATCCCTACGTCGCTCGCCCATTTCACCGCTGCTGCAGCGCCAGCGCCTGATGGAGGAGGCGCTGCTCGGCGCCGGCAAGGAGAACCTGGAGAGCAGCGGCCGAACCGGTGGCAGCGTGACCCCGGAGCAGATTGTGTGCGCGCCCTCGCTGCCCAGCAGCCCCTCGATGAGTCCGTCGCCCAAGCGACGTGCGATCAGTCCGCGCAGCTCTGGCGCGGGCAGCGCTGCCTCGATGTCGCCGCCAGCGTTGGCCGTGCCCCACCTGCTGGACAATCTGCAGCCACTGCGCTCCATGTTGCCCGGCGACTTTGCGCTATCCGAATCGCTGCTCGCCAAGACCAATCCGGAGCTGGCGCTCAAGCTGGCTGCTGCCGCTGCAGCAGCTGTGGCGGGCAGCAGCAGCAGCGCCGAGCTGGCCAGCAAGCTGGGCTTCAGTCCAGTCCAGTCCGGCGCCGCCCCTGCCCCGGCTGTGGCCACTGTTGCAGCCAATGCGCCCAACAGCCAGCCGCAGATCTATGTGAAGCAGGGCGTGTCCAAGTGCAAGGAGTGCAACATAGTCTTCTGCAAGTACGAGAACTACTTGGCGCACAAGCAGCACTACTGCTCCGCCCGCAACCAGGACGCGGGCGTGGATGGTGACTCCAAGAACGCAGTGACACCGCCTGCCGTAGCGGGCCCCGGCGTGCCTGCTGGCGCCTCATCCTTGGAGACGACGCCCGTGGCCTATCAGCAGCTGATCTGCGCCGCCTGCGGCATTAAGTACACCTCGCTGGACAATCTGCGCGCGCACCAGAACTACTATTGTCCCAAGGGCGGAGCGGCAGCCACGCCCGCGGAGGCAGCCACGCCACAGCTGCCGCTGCCCAAGGAGAAGTGCGTCAAGTGCAAGACACTGCACGATCACGGTCAGCCATGCCCGACGCCCCCAGCCACGCCCCAGCTGGCGCCGGCCAGTGCGGCTGTAGCGAACAGCGTGAACAAGTGCCCGGTGTGCGGCGTGGTCAGCCCCACCGCTGCGCTGGCCCGCAAGCACATGGAAATGCACGGCACGGTCAAGGCGTTCCGCTGCAGCATCTGCCAGTACAAGGGCAACACGCTGCGCGGCATGAGGACCCACATACGCACCCACTTCGATAAGAAGACCAGCGACGTCAACGAGGAGCACTACATGACCTGCATCTTCGAGGAGGATGCGGCGGCAGCAGCTGCAGCGGCCGCCCCGCCACCCCCCGCCCTGGGCCTGGACCTGCCCGCCGTGACTGCGGCCCAGGAGCAGCTGGAACAGCATGCGGCACAGATCTTCAACTGCGATCACTGCAACTATGCCTCCACCTACAAGGGCAATGTGGTGAGTACTGCTGACAGGCAGACGACAATGCTGGGCAGCCTGAACTCTAATTATGATCTTCCCTTCCAACAGCTGCGCCACATGAAACTGCTGCACCCACACGTGGCAATCAGCTCGCCCTCCATCTCGCCCGAGTCCCGTGAGCAGGATGCCAATGCCCATGCCCTGCCCGAGGCGGCGCTGGTGAATGGCGAACGCGAGGCGGCCAGGTAAGCATATGACCTATATATTTAGGGGTAGAGTGAGGGAGTGCCTGAGTAGAATATACCCTAAATCTATATTCATGTATATTTTAGAATGCCTAAGAATCTATAATTCACAGAGTCCTTCCTCTCCATCCATTTCAGCTTCCACATTAAGTCGGAGCCCTTGGAGCCAGCTGTGGCCACGCTGAGTCTGGTGCACGACAACAACAATTCGCCCATTGGCACGCCGCACACGCACATCAAAGCCGAGCCACTGGACATGGGCATTGAGGTGACCCCAACCACACTGCCGCCACCCATGGCCAATTCGCCGCTGGGGCCGAGCGCTGCGGAGGCCATGAAGAAATACTGCTCCACCTGCGACATATCGTTCAACTATGTGAAAACCTTTTTGGCGCACAAACAGTTCTACTGCAAGAGCAAGCTGCATCGACCGGAGGCCACCGATAGCCCCAGTCCGACGGTGGGCGTCGGTGGCGCCGCCATGCCGCTGCAGTCGCCCAGCGAGCTGCTGTTGCTGCAAAAGAACAAGGAGAATCTGCAGGAGGCGGCCATTTGAGAGAGCCAGCTGATGTGGGAGGTGCAGCGCAAGCAGCTGGAATGGTACTACAAGTGCTTCTGAGCCAACCACACAATCGTGCATCCACAAATATCAACCACCCACACAACCACAAACATCAACCACCAACAACACCACAACCACCGACACAGTATCGAAAGTATTTCCGGAGAATCTCCAACTGTTTCCCCCTGCGAAAATAGACAGATCCTGATTAATAATATCCAGGCAATATATAGATATACATAAAGACATAGATGTATATATGCGAATATATATAGATATATATATATATATATATTTGTGCTGTAGAAATCATGACATATAATGCATGCCAAAGCTTACCACTTAGAGAAGAATTCACAATTGAAGTGCAAGAAACTACAAGTTTTTCGATATCGAAATAGATCATAGTGTATCCAGGGAGTATGCTCCTCGAACTACCCAAAAAATGTAAGTGGAGTCTCTCCACGGTTGGGTTAAGCGGTATATAATCCTAATAGATCCAATAATATGCATATGCAAATCCAATAGCGTTCAAGCTTAAATAACAAATAAAACTGTGTAATTTAAATATATATAAATATGCATATAAACAAGATATATGTATATGTACTTTATGTATTTATTAAGAGTGTGCGACAATAAAAGTAATTAATTTATTCAAAATAAAATATACAAAATATAAATCTGACTTGTATTCTGAGGGTATTATAATCGTTGTATTATACATGATTTTTCAACTCTAAAAATTCCAATAAATAGTTTTGGAAAATTTTCCAGTTGTTAAGTAATAAATACGTCTTGAAATTCCGTTTGTTCATTCAATAAATATATCTGACAAATTTCTATTGTAAATTTAGGTGTATGATTTGAAATTACTTTTCAGTTTTATAAATTTTGTTCTTTATTTTATATATTTATAAAAATTTCAGCTGGAAATATAAACACGTATTTATGTCAACATTTATACATTTTCTTTTTATTTAGGTAAAAAAAATTGCAGATCATTAAAGTAAGTACATTTTTAACTGCATTTTTATAGAACTTGCATCTGAAAATAGTAATGCCAAATTATATTTGAATCTGATTCAATATGCAAAATATTTATTTGTAATATATTACTTTGGAAAGTAAAATGTCAAATAAATTAGACCTCTAAATTAGAGGCTCTAATCTATAGAGGACTTTCTAAATTTCAATTAGCTAACAGAAATTAGATTTTCTCTGCCTACTTTCAGGGTGAGCAATAAAATTTAATGATTTCTATAATTTCATAAGAATTTCCTTTCACCCCACAACCACCTCAGGGCGTTAACCTACACACCAAAAACCAAGCACTAACCAATTCTATAGGTAGCCGTTCTCTATGATATTCCCGGCGAGCATGAAAGGTCAAGTAAATTTGCCACGTTGGCAAGAGATGACGTCAGCATCGACAGTGTTGGCCATGCGAAATCATATCGAATGATTACATAGTATTATTAACGGGGCAACGTTTGACTGTTATTACATATGTATATCATATAAATTTATTGAAACACAAATAATGCGAAAATTACAGTGCTGTGAAATAAGGAATTCTATATGATGTAATTGTAATTTTAAGTAATTTATATGAATATGTATATATTTATAATTTATAATTGGTGCAAACCGAATTCATCTTGTTCTTATTTTTTATTGTTTTTTTTTTTTAATTATTTTTAAATCAACTTAGAGATATTAAAATGTTTTGTAATTAGAAGAGGCATTCACGAAAATGCCTCGTTCCTAAATGTTCGTTTGTGTGTGTGTGTGTTAGATGATCACTTGACTGCCTGCCCATTATTAACGCTGATTTGTGTGTCTATGTGCCTTCTTAGAGAGTAGCGGTATTCTCTGATGGTGCCTGTTTTCTTCTTCTTTTGTGGTACACTCTATTCGGTAGCAGCCATAGCACGCGCCTGTGCACGTACTCGCTTCTCGTACTCCAGTCGATTCTGACAGTAAATGGTGTATGCCTCCGCCTGGGCAGGATCCTTGATGTTGGGCTCGTTTAACAAGTCTTGAATGCCCAATAAAATCTGTTTGATTGTAATGGCAGGACGCCAGTCCTTCTCCTCGTCTAGTAGCGAGAGACATACGGTGCCCGATGGATACACATTGGGATGGAAAAGTGGTGGTTCGAATTTGCATTTCGGTGGCGAGGTTGGATAATCATCCTTGAAAATCATGCGTAACTTGTACAAGCCGCCCTCCCAGGGTGTCGATTTCTTTCCGGGAATAGCGCACTCCCAGATCATGAGGTTTAGTGTGCCATCGGGATTCTTAGCTGGTCGGGCCACAAAGCCAAATGGATGATCCTTTCGCCAAGCCTTACGCTCCTCGCCCAATCGTGTTATTGCAATTCCGGACATCGTGTGCTTTGCACCTCTTTTTGCTTGTCGTTTTTGCGAAATGTATTACTGTTTCTCCTTTTTGTCTTTCTGCTTCTATCTCCGATGTACACGCTGCTTGCGTCTGTGCAAAAAAATATGCTCACTATTAACGCTAAAATAGTGAAATATTTTGCATTATTACTTGTATAAATACCTTCGATTCGAGTTTGCTGTAGTAAACAGCCAAAACTACTTGCAACTTAGTGTTTTTTCTACCAAACTGGATTTTTTTTACACAAAATTAGCGCAATTTGACGGCTTCGGCTTGCATTAGGGATGGTAGAAAATATAATACATCGATACGCTACACTCTGGAAACAGTGTGACCAATAATTGAATAACTTGAAAATCCACAATATACCAGACAACGCTACGAATAGACTCTTTTACATTAGTTTCTTCTATTGATAAATATGAAATCAATAAAAAAAACTCGCAGTAGATATAGATATATGTATATAATATGTATATACATTTTATTGTAATCCAACATGAAAATCAACGACTGCTGTATAAAGTTCGGCCTCACCGATATCCAATAATCGATATTTCTCACAACGGAAAATTTGTCTTTAGGCTTATCACTGCTATTTTGGAATATTTCATTTTATTGTTCTTATATGTACCTAATTTTGTTACAGCTCATTTCTATAGACTTATGGATTTCTGATTTTGTTCAAAAAAAGGATTTGCAAGCTATGATATCAAAGCGTTTAAGCCTAATCGAACGCATTGGTGGTTGTGCCGTGTCTAGGATTAATCCTAAGTTCTTAATAGTCAAATCGTCTTTTTTATCTGATGGAAATACGCATTAAGGGACGCTAAAAGAGAAACTCAATCGCGAAGTATAAAATTTACGATGTACGTTTAACTTGTTACTCGTTAATAATAGAAGACTTGTAAGCAGTTTTTGTAAAGGGAAAGAGAAAGAGAAAGAAAAGCACGGAATTCATTTAATGAATTATTTAGCTTTTTTGGAATCTTTCTTCTTACTGCTGCTGCTGCTACTGCCACTCTCGTCTTTCTCTTTCTTCTCTTTCTTTTCCGGCTTTTCCTCAGGGTGATCTTCATAGCTATGGAGAAGACAAAGTTTAAGGTTATTAATAGTTTTAGCGGGATGAATGTCCGTGACGACTTACGCAAAGAGCACCTTCAGTTCGCCTCTGACCAGAGCCACCAGCAGAGGTGTGCCCATACAGGCGGGCACTAGGTAGAGCAGCGCCGGCTGCGCATGCTTGAAGACGTGCATCACAAAGATCGTAGCCAAGAGACCCATAAAGTAGGCAGCTAACGTGGAATAGAAGTAGATGCGCGTCTTGCGCTTTTTGCTATCATCGAATCGCAGCAGCAGGGCAATGAAGATGCCGGGAATAACAATATCACCTAGACCCAACATGGCAAAGTTTGAGGCGTTGATGCCATTGTCGAGAATGTCTTGAGGAAACACTAGCTTAATGGGCGCCTCAAAGCTTTTGGCCACAGTGACCATGACGTTGGTTCCAAACACCCAGAAGATGTCGTAGAAGAACAGTCCACTCAGCAATATAACACCCGTGACAAAGTTATTCAAATGCAACATCTCAACGCCGTTGATGGCGAAAGCCAAACCGAACATATTGTTAGCGATCCAGTGTTTCTTCAATAGATACCAGACGCCAATCGCCGATGAGATGATTAGGCAGATGATGTCGTGCGTGGAGAACTTGTAGTTGATGATGTCCTCCTTGTGCTTACCTTCACCCTTGGTGAAGTGTATGTGGAATGGTATTTTGGGCACAGCAGCTGGCATCAACGAATTGACAATTGGGCTGAGAAGGTGGGCCAACGCAATGACTCCCAGCACGAAGAAGTAACCGGTTAGCAACAAGTTGATGTGGACCTTTTGAAAGATCTGAAAGAACATGTACAGGCCAAAGAGCGCCACAGACGCGATAAGTGGAAAGTACATGGCATCCTTCTTGGTCATTGTGTCTGCCTTCTCGCCTGTCGACTACGGAAAACATGTGAAAGTTAATAAAGAGTGAAAGCATGCAACAAAAAAGCGGCTCAAGTACGCATACACATACCTTTTTCAGTTTATGCAGCTTAACGGAGCGTATGGAACCGAAAATAATGGGCAGCATGGCCATTATGACCAGGCTGCTATACGCCACGGCAATGCCTTCCGGCGTCGATGGCTTCTTTTCGTTTGTAATTGTTTCATTTTTTGCACTTGCATTCACATTCTCTAATATGCCCTTAATTGCCCTTTTCACGCTGCCAATGATTTCTTCCGCCATGTCTACTATTCTGCTGACTTTATCTCAGCTATGTTTAACTCTATATTTTCGTTGCCGTTGACGATTTCTATTGAAAACCGTTTCGGCTCGCGATTGGAGGGTAACAATTGTGACACGCAGCCACACAACAGCAACAACTACAATAACTGCAAACGACGCACACGTCAACGCTAGAGATGGCCGATAACATGCTAACTTATCGACTTAAACTGTAAAGGTAAAACAAGCACGGAAGAATATATTTTCAATAAAATTAGCTGTATGAATCTAACTTATTAAAGTTAATATTAATATTAATTATTTCTCGTGAGTCAACTCATTTAATATTGCCCTTAGAAGATGATAAATGAAATAAGTTGACAAGTCTCTGTTATGCCCATGTTATGCTCAAAATGGCACTGTCAACATTATCAGCTGTCAAATCTATTGATAACCCGTTAGAACTTTAATCGAATTTTTGAAAAAGTTAGCTGCCGACCAGTTTGTGTGGTTGGCTCCATTAACCACTGTAAGAACTGCGAATACTATCATTTGACTGCACAAGTCAGCGCTTGTGTTATCTTGTATAACTCTCGGTGGCAACTATGCCATTGGCTTTATCAGAGGCTGCTGCCATGTGCGAAACCCTCTGGTGGCTTTCGGATCGACGTTCAGTCGTTATCCAGAGACCGATGAGCTCACATTAAATTAGAATAAGTGAATTGTTGATCCACAAAAAAAAAGCAACAAATAAAAATCAGGCACATTGTGAACTTGAGGAACAACAATGTCGACCAAGATAAAAACATTGATTTCCGGTCGTGGGCTGCTGTGGTTGTTGGTGTTGGTGTGCCTGGTCGTTTCCGTGCCAAGCGCCAGTTGTAAGTGCATTAAATATAAATATCTTCACGCGTTTATCTAAAATCTTCTAATCAGGCACGCCGGATCACTTAGCTGCTCCCGATACGAAGTCAACCAATGTGAGCACTCTGGATCGGCTACAAATGAATCTCTTCGTTAACTACGATGCAAACGTTCAGCCCACAATTCAGGGTAAAGCTACAAACGTAAGCCTCGGTCTATCGGTGAACTACATAGATATCGATGAGCTAAACGGCAAAATTACGCTCCATTGCTGGCTGACTGTGGTAAGTGTAGATTGTAACAAAGGCTTGCTTAGTCAGCAACTTAATCCGATTGGATTGCTATTATTGCAGCGCTGGGTGGACGAGCAGCGTTCATGGAATATTAAGCAATATGACAACATTACCAAGCTGCATATACCGGACAACAAGGTGTGGAAGCCACAGATTATGATCTTCAATGCCGCCGCCGATGAGGGCAACTATCCTGTGAGCACACAGATGATACTGTCCAATGATGGCAGCTTCTTGTGGGTGCCGCCAGCCGTCTACACGGCCTACTGCGCCCTGAACATGATCAACTGGCCGTACGATCAGCAGATATGCAAGCTCAAGATTGGCACCTGGTCGGTGGGCAATCTGAATGCGGCCTACAACAAGGTGATCGATTATGATGACCTGGTGCAGTCGAGTGAGTGGGAAATTGTCAGCGGCCGGACAGAGTCTGTGCACAAGGACTATTATAGCTACGTGGAGTTCATATTTACGACACAGCGTCGCTCCAGCATGTATAAAGCGATCATCTTTACGCCGGCCTCTTGCATAGTGATCCTCACGCTGGCCGCTTTCTGGCTGCCGCCGAAGATGGGCGAGAAGATAATGGTCAATGGCATACTCATCCTCCTGATTGCCTCGTTTCTCATGTACTTTGCCCAGCTGCTGCCCGTGCTGGGCGGAAATACCCCGCTCATTGGTGAGCTAAACGATTTCATTTCCTCTAGATTTCCTTAACCAAGTCTTCTTTGCAGTTGTATTCTATAGCGCCAGCCTGTTGGTGCTCAGCATCTCAACGATTATTGAGGTTGTAGTGCTGTACTTGGCCACGGCACAGCATAAGCGTCGCGTACCGGATATAGTAAAGCGTCTTTTGAACGGCAAACTGGGCTCTTGCCTAATGCTCTCTCACTTTACCAACGACGCTGAGCTGCCAACAACGCAAAACAATGGCTTGCCCAAGGAGATGGATGAGAATTTGTACAACAGTGTGGATGATATGACCAGTCCGTTGGACATCAATCCCACTGACACGCCCTCAGCGCGTGCTCTACAATTCGACTGGGTGCTGTTGGCCACAGCCGTGGATCGTATTTGTTTCATTGCCTTTAGCCTGGTCTTCATAGTGTTGAGCATTGTTTATATTGCCTAAAGATCCTAAAAAATACCCTCTTAAACTAGATTTTTGTTATAGATATACATACATATACATATGTATATTTGTATTACTTTTACTACAATACTCAGAGAAACAACTTTCTATTATTTTTTGTTTTGAAAACGAAATTTACGCAATTTTAAAATTTAAATACAAAATCTATCTATAAGAAATACTTATCTACCATTCCGTGCTCAAGTAGGACGTACTCGATTAAAAGATACCCCCATTCCATTCATTCTCTTAACTAATTCCTTTAAATAAAAGAAGTTTTTGCGTATTTTTTCTTAAAGTGTATTTCTATTTGTGAATTTTTTTTTGGATTTCCTCTTTTTCATGTCCAATTTATGAACTTATCATTATAGTTATTTAAATAATATGTTGAGAGCTCTATGTACATAGACACACGCATTAAAAGTAAAGTATGTGGGCTTAAAAGCGACATTTAACAGACATTGTAACAAATTAGTCAGGCCGGGTTAGATCCCGGATACTTTCTACATGTATTGCTTCCTTTTTCCATAACTTCTTTTTTTTTTGTTTTTGGTTGCATTGCTCCATGTATTTATCACATATGAGAAATTACGTAATTAAACCAAAAGTAGCTGGAATTAAGCGAAATGACCTTTTTACAGTGTGACCCCTGGCGGCCAGAGCGAGATGGAGATACGGCAACTGGCTCGGCTTGTGCGCAGCGGGCGGCCCTTGCGCAAGCCCGACCCCCGCCCCACATAAAAGAGCAACCCCTGACAAATTGGGGTTGGCCATTTGCCATTGCAATTAAATTCGTTGCTCATAGGTCACATTGGCGGAGGCTGCGGATGCTCTGGGCTCCTGCTCTGGCGACTGGCTGGAGCCCGCCGTGGAGCCCGTTGGCGCGACGTTTGCATAACCGCCCGGGCCGGCAAATACGGACGACACCTGGGCAGGCGAGGGCAGCGACGAGGCTGTGGAGGGTGACGGGAATCCTAAACTGGAGCAATTCGAGGCCGGCGATGCGAGCTCCCCGGCGGCTGCAGCGGCGGCAGCGGCGGCGGCGGCATGCGGATGCAGCAGCTGATGCGGATGCACATGCGAGTGATGGCCATGATGGGAATGATGCGCCAAGTGGTGCGGCAGATGCTGTGCGGGCAGAGCATGTGGGCCACCGCCAGCGGCGGCATGTGGATGCGAATGATGATGATGATGATGATGATGCTTATAGGAACTAATCATGCTGCTGGCCGGATCACAGCCCTGTGCCTGCGCCTGGCAAGCGGCCATCAGGCCATGGAAATCAAATTTGTACGCATAGCGCTTGCCGTGCACCTTGGTCATGATATTCTTGTCATAGTAATAGCTGCAAAAGAGATGAAAAACAAATCAAATGGCAAATAGAATTGAAAACTTGTTTGTGGCATGACTCAGAGAGCAGGAATTGTTGGTCTAGTTCGTGGAGACTTACCGCAGAGCTCTGCTCAGCTTGTCGTAGTTCATGTTTGGCTTGGCCTTGCGCTCGCCCCAGCGCTTGGCCACCTCGTCCGGATCGATGAGCCGGAACTCGCCCGATTGGCCCTCCCAGCTGATGCAGTTGGCGTTCGACGAATCAGCGAGCAGCTCCAACAGAAATTGCCACAACTGTATTTGCCCGCCCGAGCCCTGAGCGACCAATCGGTGCGAGGCAGCGTTCAGCAGCTGATATGGATCTAAAAAAGAAAAAAGCGCAAACAGAGACAAACAGACAATCAAGCAACAGATACATACAGCAATTTATATATGCACACACACACACACGCACACACTGAGAGACAGACAGCAGCAGTGAGAGGGAGCGTTCGCTTGAGCTCGCATCAAACGAGATTTGCTGGTCAATGGCTGCGCGGTCGGGCGGGGTTGTTGCCGCCTGGACAAGGCGCTGGCAACGTGGCATGCAAACCAAATGAAAGACCATAAGCCGACCAGGTCCGATTCCACAGAAAAACAACCGCAAGTACACATAAATCCTCGAGCTAGAGCTTGGGATATTCCCGCCATCAGCGGACGTGAAAGGCCTAGAACAGGCTCCCAAGCAGGTGCCAACGGTCTACTAGACTAAAGATACTCTCTAGCAGTTGCATTGCAAAGCTGAGTAACTAACAGCTATAGGATTTGTGAACTTGATTTGATAGACCTAAATGTTAGCTGAGGATTTTTAAAATTACTTAAATATTCAATGAAATAATTGTTATTGAAGAATAGAATAATTGAATAAATATTTGTAGATCATTTAAAAACTAAATTTTTGTTTTGCCTTTTATGCTATCTACCTATTCAACTTTAGTTCTTAACATTTAATTATTATATTTAAATAAAAAATTTATTATTATGTTCAACAATTGTATAACATCTATTTCTGATTTTGAGACACGTGAATAAATAAATAATGATTATTATTTATCAATTTTAAGCAAGACTATTTGTTAGAACAATACTGATAAACTTGTACATCTTATAAAACATTCGAAGCTCAACTAAAATCGGAAGACTGTAGATGACAATATCGCATTGTTTCTTATCAATACTGACTATATACTATACTCCCAGTGTACTACACTACGCCGTATATACATACATACAACGTTAATTTTGGTCATTCATAAAACATTATATAGTATACTTTATTATGATATTCAACTTGAATCGAATGTATCAATACATCAATTTAAAAACTACCATTTTAGACAATAAATCCTATAAATACGCATATATCGCATGTATCAACGTATCAATCTGCTATCTACCTAGGGTATTCAAAAAGTTCCCCTCATATACAAAATTGTCGGCTGCAATCAACATAATTCCAGGTGACTCATGGTCAAGAGAAGACAGTTCCGCTAAAAGAAGAGGCAGAAAGAGAGCGACAAATGCGTGTATGCAGAGAGAGAGAACGACAGAGCGAGAGGGAGAGAGAGAGAGTGCGAGATCAAATAAGTAAGCAAGCAAGAGATCGGAATTTGCTTCCTCAAATTCTATCAAGCTTTGGTATTTCTATTCTTATGCCAATTCGTGTCCGGAAATGCCAAATGTTTTACCATTGAAGATCATGGAGCTATGTCCGTTATGCGCGGTGCCAGCAGCATGGCCGTGATGGTGGTGCTGATGGTGATAGTGATGCACGGTCGTATGGTGGTGCGGATGATGTGTTGCCGGCGGTGCAGGCTGCATGCGCAGCCCGAAGCGTCTATTCAAATCCTCCGAGAGGCGCCACATGACGCCGACGTCGACGCTGACGCTCATTGTGCGCGGAACTGAAGCACTTTATCGTATGAAAACACAAATAACTCTACGGCGACATATTCTCAGAAAAATTCAATTGTATAAGAAATATATATACATATATATATATGTATATATAATATTGGCTTGCGAGCAATTGACCCAAATTGCAATTATTTCTTTTATTTTTATTTTGTTATTTCTGTTTATGTGATCTGGCTTTTTTATGTCTTTGCTTCACTTTAACATTATTTACAATATTTATTAAAAGCTGAATAATTTTTCAAATTTCTTGTTAAGTGTAGTACAATTTATTTATAATTTTTTTTAAATATTTGTTTCGGGTCAGAGCGCAAAAGTGCGAACTGTTTCGGGCGAACTCCATGTGGCAACTGCTGCCAAACAAAGCGGCACCCAGTGCTCCATGCGCTATATCAAAAGACATACATATATACGCACACATACACATATACATATAGCATGGGTATTATATAGATGTATAGCTATCCAGACGCGAGCAATGCCGAGGCGCAGCTCACCTGCGCAGTTGGTGGTAAATGCTGGACCAAAAGTCACAAAAGGCCACGTGCAGCCACTCAACCCTCGCCCAGCTCAGCGTCTGCCTCACCCCCTCCCCCGCCCCCCGACCCCACCACTCACCCACTCTGCCATTCGCTTTGGGTGTAGTTCAGCTGTAAGCTCTGGCAGAACAACATGTAATCCTCTTTGGCATAAAAAACAAATCAATTAAACTGGCAGAGACACAGCGCCTCCTTAACATATACCAATGTCAAATCTCAGGAAGGATGCAACGAATTGAATATTTTCCTGTCCCACACAGCAAGCTAACCAACCGACCCACCGGCTATCAATGTACTCCACCCACAGATGGCGCCGCCCGCTGTGCCGTTGTCAGTTGGCAGGAGTCCTGACTCCTGCTTTTCGCTCGTGTTGACTTTTCTGACTTTGCGACTTTTGCGCGTCGGCGCTTGGCGGGGATTATTTTGATTTTATTATTAGATGCCACATCCTGTGAGAAATTATCATATTTACATCGTTTATTATTAAGTTCATCACTCGAACCGCACACACACACACACACGCACACGCCCCAAAGGGCGTGGTTAATAGCCGTCGAGCAGGCGGCGAAAAAAAAGTGTTGCATACTTTTGCGGTCGCTACCAAGGCGTTCTTTCGAGAGATTTACGTTTATGGGCCACAAGTTGTACGCGTCGCGCTATTACGGCCAAAGGATGCCGCCAGAACAGGTGCAAGTATATAAATATACAGACTTACTTAATACAGTGGTAGCCCGCTAATTAAAACGTTTTCTTCTGTGGATCAACTTCAGCCTAACAATAATAATCTTGCACTTATGGATAAGCTATAGTATGGCAATATAACATTTGAATGGCAATGCTTTCAGCACTTGGGAATGATTTGCAATCTATAAATTATATGTTTTGTTCATTGAGTTTATATTTCCTGGAATATACGCATATATTATGCACAACTGATATTAATCTTTATAAATTTAAGAAAAAGCATAAATTATGGCTTAAGTGCGGAGTGAAACTGGGTATTATGAAATTTATACAAACAGTTCACATAATATCTCTGCGGGCGAACCCATAACTCTATATACAATATTAACACTTATTGATGATTTGATTTAGATGCAATGAAACTGAATTATACTAGAAGCCTCCACTTTGGCAACCTCGAGCTACACTGTGCAACACTTGTTATCAGGAGAATTTCTTTTTTATAAGTTCTATTGCTATATTTTTAACTATTTTTCCATTGAAAGTGTCTTACGTAAATTTGATATATTTCAATTTCTTTAATGAGAGCTGAAGCATGAAGCATTTTATATATATATATATATATATATATATAGAATGTACAAAATATAAAGAACTGAAATCGAAATTTGCTGACGCACAATAATGAATTGTGCTCAGGGAAGTCAGGATTAATATAAAATTTAATTCATTCCATGTAAATCGCAAATCTTATTCTAGACTCAGCGACTTTGATTGAGGCTAACGCACTGCACATAAACGACAGATAGGCGGATGGACAGAGAGCCCTCGTTTTTCCTGTCGATACTTAATAAGGATAAACAGATTATAATATAGACTTCACCTCCTTCCTGCGTCTACATCTGCTAGATAAATATATTATTCTTTTATAATTATATATGTAATATATGGGTCAGTTTAAGAAGTACTCGTTCGTAATTTATGTACAAAATAATTTCATTAAATAATACTTCATTTATAATTTGTATTAAATTTGTATTTAATTTCAACGGCCAAAGTTCAAGCTGCCGAAGTACTACTGTAGTGTATATATCTAATTAAAAGTCAGTTTAATCCTGACTGGGAAGAGTTCACATTGTACTTGACTTAATCCATACATGCTCAGGGCACCCACCCACCCTCACACACATACATATGTACACTATATACTCTCCAGCCCCTTTGCGAAGTCCCACCCCCAGTTGGCATTAATTTCACGCCTTTATCAATAGCCCAGCCATTTCGTTTGGTATTGGGTGTGAAAAAAAAAAAAAAACAATCAATGAGGGACATAAGTAACGCTTCTATCAGCGCCTCCACATCTTAATCAGTTGCCATTAGGTAGCACTGCGCGTACGGCAAAAAGGATTCAATTGATGCCTGGCCGACCACAAAGAAGGACCCAAGGATAGCAGAGCAACTGATAGCAGCTGCTGCTGCCTGGCTTCTCTATATATTGTTTGACCTTAAACGTGCCACTGGGAATTGACGACGTGCAGCCAATTACAAGCAACTCAATCTGGACAGATCAGATTTATGTGGCCATAGATTGGGCCGAAAATAAGAGAAATAAACAAACACCTTCACTTACTTGGCTCGTTCTCGTTGAGCATGGGACTCGTCTCCCTGCCGGTGGCATGGTAGAGACTGAAGGCGAAGTGTTTGGCCAGCAGGATGCCGCCGCGCCTGGAGCCGGCACAGACCCAGAAATCGGCGCGGCTCAGCTGACACAGCTCCTTGCCATCTTTGGGAAAGCGGGTGATGTCTGGCTCCGGTTCAATTTTGAACTTGCGCGTCAGCCACTTCACCCAGCTGGCAATGTCCTCGGTGGTCCAGGCATGCGGATCCACGGGTACCAACACAGGTGAGCCGGGCTCACTCTCCGTATCGGAGCCAACTGGCGCATCGGCTGGAGTAGGTGATGGCGGGCGGGAGGTAGCGGGTGGTGAAGATAACTGCTTAGCAGGAAAAGGAGAGCTGTGCCTGCTGGCGCTCCTTCTACTGGTGCTGTTGTTGTTGCTGCTGGTGCTGCTGCTGCTGGTGCTGCTGCTTGTGGAGCTGTCTGAATCTGTATCCGAGCTGGAGGAATCAGCTGTGCTACTGCTGCTGCTGCTGCGTCGACGTCGTCGTTGCCCTCGATGATGATCAGCCGCATGCTTCGCCGCCGCTTCGACGGCCGCTGTCGCTTTGGAGGAAGGTGATGATGCACCGACACCTTTGGGTCGGGCATCTTGGTGCATGGCATTCGAGCTCGGCACCGGCACTGACCACAGTGCACCACACACTCGGCTGTCTATTTTTTGGTTTATATTAAAACTCTGGATCTGGCTGCCCAGAATGGCCATGGAACTGGCGAAACACTGAAACACTGAAACACTGGGACACTGCACAGTATCAGCTGCAGCTTAGAGTATTTATCTCGATTTTCATTGAGCTCGTCATTGTTGGAACGATGGAAAAACACAAGACAAGGTCCGCTTCGCTTAGCAAACGGACTTAGGATTTAATAAAAGCCAGCGCGGTGATTCACACTATATTATTTTATTTGTTATTTCCTTCTAGTATTTCTCTTCATATGCACGCGCGCAGTAAACACTGTTTATTTAGATTAGGGAGAGGGGGTTTCGGAAATTTTAACAAATTCAAAGCCGGTTCGAATTCAGTTAACACAGTGGAAAATTGCAGCTATGGAAAATTGTTTGCAATAACCGTTACGTTGCGATCGGCAAGCATCCGCACAGGTTCGCGTATGACAAGTTAATGATCGGCGAAAATTGAACCACGATAAAGTCGTGACGAAACAGCGTCAACAGCGTCAACGCCAAAAAGCTTTCGCTCTCAAGCTCCCGCTCTCTGGGTCACTCTCTCTCTCTCTCTCTCTCTCTCTCGCACGTTGCGCTGCTCATTTTGTTTAGGCACGCTGGTCAATTAGCTAACCCAAACGTATCGAAAACCGCGAATTGTACGCCATTCGCTAGGGGGATCGCAAAAAAATTCAAAAAGCTGAAAAAGCTTTCTGCTGTGCGAGTCTCTCTCTCTCGAGTCGCGATTCTTCGTTATCTACGCTCGCCGACGGTGACGTCGTCAATCGCGTTGAGTGAGTCACACCGAATATGCGGGCGCACACTTAAACAAGCAAACAAGAGCACGTCATGGAGTTTCCCAGGCACAGGTTTCTCAACTACAGCTTGAGCAAAGCTATGCTGGTAAGAGGCGGGAGGTGCGTAGGGAGTGGAGGGTAAGGTCGTTTGGCCGGCTGCTGAATAAATTCATTCATTCATACTACGTTCGTTTCGCTCGCTCACACAGACGCCAATATAGCTCGTCATAATTCCAGGAAAGCCCACATGACTCTTTCGGTCGACTAACGCTACGATCGCCGTTGCTCGTATTTTGCTTTGAAACAATCTCAAAATTATTCGCTAATACGTCGATGGCGACCGAAAAAGGCATCGACTGTCCGCTGCGTCCTCTTGCTTTTGATCTATATATCTGCTGCTGCTGCTAAGTGCTGCGCGGCTGTTGTGTCAGCTCATTCATTCACGGGAATCGTTCATTACACGTCCAAATACAGTATATTCCAAATCTTGCGAGCCCACCATGATGACACGAGACCAGCAATGCCGGCGGCGATGCCGGCAATTATTACGAATACTAACATTACACTGGTCAAATCTTAAGAGTTCCAAATTTCTTTCAACATAACATAATAGTAATTATATTATTAAATAAATAAGTAAATGAATATAAATATGAAAATATGCAAAACTATACACAATTTTGATTAATTCTCATATTCATTTTATTTTCTATTATTATTTTGAGCTGTGAAGTAAAAAGCAAGTATACACTGTATAAACAGCCTTTATTTCTAAAACTAAACGCAATATTCGATTTCAAAATTAAACGTAATAAATTTGAATAGTACGAAGTGCACAGTAGAAAGCTATAAAAAAAAATCTGGAAATGCAATATTTGGAAGTACTTTAATTAAGCTTTCAAGTTGAGCTTTCAAATTGAGCTTCTTTTATTTGTTTTTCTTTAGTGTATAATTGATGTATGCGGATCGCACAACAAATAGACGATTGCTCTATTGAAATTATTTGAATTCAGCTCGTAATTCCGAGAAACAATTCTGATTTCATAGTTGTAGGACGCATATGATTCATACAAGCGACTATGACACGCGCCCTTCACTTCTCTTCGACCACATAATCACGGCGCCACGAGATATTGTATTTATTTTCGCTTTTTGTGTGGGGGAGATACGAGATACAGATACATATACAAACGTACGTATAGTAGACCTGTTGTATAGAGAGCTTTTACTATACGTAAAATTTCATTCATAACCATTTGTTTAGCTTCTTTTAGCTGTGTTCTATTGTTGTTTCATTTTGTTTTGCCGTGAGTATCTCTATATATGTAGGTGAAAGCTCATGTAATCGTAAGATATTCCGATTGCTCATTCATAAATTGGCGATCGAAATTATGAGTGCCTTACATTGTACTAATTATATCGTTTCCCAAGTTATTATTAATTTGCTTACCTTATGAGTAATACCCTGTAAAATAGAATGCAATTAATGTTTATATTTCGAAGTGAATATTTAGTAGATCTGCTATGTATATATATCCGTTGCTTATAATTTAGACCTAGGTTAACTCGCAATGTAGCAAAATTAAAGAAATTATGTACATGTCTAGATAGCGAAATCTCAATAAACTTTGTAAGTGCCAGCCTATCGAATATACATATAGTAGAATATCATAGTATATCTATAAACTTTTTAAGAAAAGTCCCGTTTTTCATGTATTTTTTTTAGCCTCATTCAATAGTAATTAAAGTACAATATACTACGGGATATTACGAATTAAACCTATTTGCTGATAATGTTGGGCTCGTCGTACGATAGGCTATTCATAGACTGTTGAAACTTATAGATTATCGTGGTTTCCTATCATTACTCATAGCAAACCATGAATAGTGGCTAACTATGAGCGTAGCTAGTTCAGTGTAGCTCTTCTCTGATTTCTTCGTCATCGGCCTCGTCATCGCTGTTTGTGCTCGTCGTATTGGTCGTTGTCATTGAGATCGTGGTGGCTGCCGTTGCAGTTGTCGAGCCGGTCACTTGACGACCCGAATTCCAGATGAGCTCAAAATCTAAATCACATTCCTTGGCCACTCGCTGCACCAGGGCTCTATCCACCAAGCCAGAGGCGCTCCACGAGCTGTCCTTGACGGCCAATTCCTTAAGGGCTCGCCCAGCCTCGGGATACTGTTTCGCATAGACCAAGGCGCGCACCAGCATCGCCAATATGTGGGAGTGTCGGATGGGCGGTTGCTCGGGCTTGACTGGCAACAGAAAAGAAAAGAAAGCCATAAATAACTAAACAACATTCATTGAGTGATATATATATTTGATTCTATAAGCCCTCTGGATAAACTTACTCAACATGCTGCGACATGCTCCAATTACGGATTGATTGTCGCCTGCACGCAGCGCCTGCTGCATCTCCAGAATGGTCTTGACGTCTGCAATAGTGCGCTGAAGATTGTTGTAGGCGTGCTGGGCATGGCTAAGCTTCTCCAGACACTTGGATGCCTCCTGCATGGCTGTCAGCGCTTTTTCATAGTCCTGATACTCCTCGATCTCGATCTGTGCGCATATGGCATAGAAATTGGCCAGCGAATCGTATGCCTGCGCCTTGCCATAGAAGCTTATGATGTGCTTCAGGATGTTGCCATCGCTCTGCCAGTCGAGAGCCTGCAGATAGTTGGCGGCCATGATGTAGATTTCCCGCTGGCGTGACATGGTCGCAAAGAAGATGATCTTGTCGGTGTTGCCGGACTTGAGCAGGGATTTCATGGCGCGCACCTTGTCGCCGGCCTGTGTGAACTTCTTGGTGGCGCTGTGATAGTCTCCCTGCTGCTGCAGCAGCTCGCCCAGCTTTATAAGGATGCCGGTGCGTGTCTCCTCGTCAAAGTCACCTTTGCCGGGAGTCAGCATATCCGCCAGCTCCTCTGTGACCGGAACACCCTTCTCTACGCAAATGTTCAAGGCACGCTCCAGATGCTTTGTCTTGGCCAGCAATTGTACCGCCTTCTGGTATTGCTCGATGCTGGCGAAGAAGTCCGCACAGCGATTGATCAACTCTGCATCCGATTCGGCGCTCAGCTCTGTGGCTATAATCTCCAAAATCTCCGGCTGCTGCGACTCGAACGCCATTTCCAGCGCCTTGTGGAGCATGCCCGCTCGATGGTAGAGCTCAACGGCATACTTGAAATTTCCGCACTCCTCAAAGTAGGCCGCTGCGATGGCCTTGTCTCTGCTGCGCGATGAACTGGCCACCGTCCACAGCTCCTCCTGGAAGTCGTTCTCCTTGCAGATGCGTATGGCATTGCTGAAGGTCTGTGCCCGAGTATAAAACATGATGGCTTCCTGGAATTTACCCACATTCTCGTAGTGCCTGCCCAGATGATAGCAAGCGGCACGATCACCCGACTGCCTGGCAATAGCATCCGCCTTAGAGATCTTGCCCAGATAGCAGAGTATCTTCACCTGCGAGAACCAATCCTCGGCCTTGCTGTAGACAGCCAAAGCGGCATCCATGTCGCCAGAGCTCTCCACATACTGGCCCCACCACCTGAGCATCTTGGGATCTGTGGTGGTCTGTATATAACGCTGCATGGCCATGGGGTTTTCCAGCAGTAGCTGCGTTATATTCTGCACAGGATTCTGAGTCTTTTCGTAGTACTCCAAGGCGCCCTTGATGTCGCCTCGTTCGCGTAGAGCCTGAGCCTTCTGGTAATACGTATGCTTTAGATGTATGCGATCCTCCACCTCGGCCACTTGAAGCGCCTCATCCAGCTGGCCAGTAGACTGCAGCAGCTTGTTGAGCAGATCGTAACGCTTGCAGCGTTTGTATAGTTCCTTAGCCTCTTCGATCATGCCCAGCTCAATGGCCAGGACGGCTACTTTAGCCTCCAGCTCGAGATCATCGTCCTCCATGGCCTGGCGCAAGGCGCGCACAGACCGGGCCTGCTCCAAGTGACCCATGCACACCTTGGCCACGTCCAGACGATTTGTGTGCACGCACATCTTAGCCAAATTAGTCCAGATGACCTTGGACTGTATGGAGCGTACGCATCGAAAGGCCAAATCCATTTGACCCTCGGCCACGTGCAAACTAAAGTTGAGCACCTGCCTCCGGGTGTTGGCATCGCAATGCTGCAAGTCGACGAAATCCTTCAACGGCTGCTCCTGCACTGCATTCACCTGGAGAAAGACTACGCTGGGCACGCACAGATTAAGCAGCTGAGCGCCAGCACTCATCGCCTGCGTTTCGAGCACATTCAGCTTGCATTCGTTCTTCTCCGAGTAGAACATGACCAGCACCTGTGACTCCACATAGTGGCTGGGCGTTGGCTGCTGCCGGCTGGGCTTTTGGGCTTGCATCACCATCGACTTGATCTCGACAGCCAGCAGGCGAGGCTCTTCCGTGTCCCAGAAGAGTCGCACGGCAAGACTAGACTTGCTGCTGGCATCTGACTCAAGCTTGACCAGATCGTGCTCGAAGAGATTATTGCGCTCAAAGTCCCAGCAGTAGATGGCAGCGCAGGGAGTAAAGCTGCTGTTGGCAATCACTAGGGCCAGGTGACTGCCCAAGCTGTTACATTTGACCAAGATGAACTCGCCGAAGTCATCGAAGATCTCGTGTCCCGACTTGCTAGGAAACAACAGCTTCGGGTCATGCCGGGTTACATCGTATGCCTTGACATAGCCATTCATCGTGAATACGGACAGGTAGCAGCCCGTCAGATCCATGCCAATGATTTTTCCCTCTATATCGTTGCCTAGTATTCGGTGGAGCACGACGCCTCCCACGGAATAGACAACTATATCGCTGGAGCTGAGGCAAAAGATGTTTTGGTTGTGCAGACACAAGTTCAGACACTCGGCGACAAAGGTTTGCATCAATCTCACATTCAATGCCGGCGAGCTCTTCACTGATGCCGTAGAAGCCGCACCGGATGCTTCCAAAATCTCATCGAATTCATCCAGGCTCTTCTCAATTTTCTGCAGACTGTAAGAGGATATGGAGCGTCCATTGCTCACGACCAAGCTGAGCTCATTCAGAGCCAGCGCAGTTACCGCAAAGTCCACCTCGACCGTACATTGGCGTCCGCTGTAGTGCGTCAACTGGATACACTTCGCCGAGTTCTGCACTGCCCACAGGCTGCGCGTATGGCAGGCCAGCAGAGGTTGCTCCTTGAGCATGAAGACACTCGATAAGCAGTTGACTAGGATGCACGGCTTGGCCAGCTCATTGTAGCCCCAGATGCAGCTCTTGATGGCACCTTGACGGGACAGCGAGGAAATACTGCCCATTTGCCAAGCATCCTCTGGGGCGCTCACAAAGCAGCTAACTGTGCGCTTCCAAGTATACAGATTTCCCAGATTGGTTGCCGCGCAGAGGGTCTGATTGGTGTTGCTGTAAGCGAGGCACGTGAAGATCTCATTGGAGTTTAGCTGCGCATACTTGGACATTTTGCGTGGCAGATTATTATTGCTGTTGCTCTCCACGCTGTTCTCATGACTGAAGAACGCATTGTTGTTTGAGGAGGAGGTGGCCGTCAGTCCGTTGTTTAAGCTAGGCAGCGATGATCCAACGCTCTGCACACTGGAGCTGGGTAGATCCATTTTAAGTAGGTAATTATCACTGCGCTCAATGTCCCAGATGCGCACGGATAAATCGCCCGTGATTATGGCCAAGCTGTTGCCCGCCCAAGCGATGGCCCCATGCTTGCCCGTGCCCCGACCACTCAGCTTTACGCGATCCAGCTCCGTCAATATGCCCGTGGACTCGACCAGGTATAGCATGATGGTCAAGTCATCCAGCAGGCAAATGACTGCATCCCTTAAAGAAAAGGAAACGTATTAAACCAAGGCAGCGACTCATACTCTCACATACTTCTTGGGATGCCAGAGCATTTGCATGATGCATGGCTGATGCTGTCCGCCCTTCAGCACTTCGCTGCAGCTCCCGCCTTGATTGATGTAGTAGGCCACGCCACCCTGCGTGCACGCATAGAAGCAGTGATTGTCCCGCACGCCCGAGTGTCCACGCGCAGCTGTGCGTGGTCGCCAATTGGTGAGCGTGTCCAGCGCATTCTCATCGCCTGCTACAGCTGCCTTGGCTAGACTCGCCATCTCCTCGCGCACCTCGCTCTCAACCGTGCGGCGGAAGCAGATCAAAAGCAGGACCTCGCGTAGGTCGTGCGAGAACATGGTGAGGAATTGATATTGGCCATCGCAACGCCAGCCTGTGACTAGGCCCATTGCATCCGCAGTTACCATGCGACCGCCCTGCTCGCTGAATTCCAGCAACACAATGGCCGCCTTGTGTGGCCCACTGACGCTGGCGAATTCTCGATGACCGGCAAACCAGACGTGTATGTCACCATGCTCCCAGCCGGTGGCCAGCAACGCCTTCTCCGGATGCCAGCACATAGCAGTTGCTTGTGAGGTGGCGTGGACTGGATAAGTGACATCCCTTTGTGGTTCACCCTGGAAAATATGTTAATCCATATTTCTACATTCATTCCAATTCACTGGCACTTACAGTATCTGCAAATATGGTTACACTGCCTCCACGCTCCTGGCTGTACGAGGCAACCGCGAAGAGCGGCTCATTGGGATGCCAGCTACTGATGGTGCTTACTGCATCCGAGTCCAGGAACTCGATTTTTGTATCAAAATAGAGCGTCATCTTTTATATTTGCTTTTTGGTATCCTTTCCACTTGCCGTTGTTGGCCCAACAAGCCGCTGGCCACAACAGACAACGGTTGCCATGACTGCTCCTTCGTGTTGCTACAGCCCTGGATAAATTATATTGCAATTAGTATAAAAATAGTAATTGTTGAAATACTTGAAAAACAACTACATATATATACATATGTATATACATATATAATGCAATCAGTAAACTAATTACATCTTCTCAATCAGATTTACGCTTGATAGCCCCTATGTAATTCTACGCACATGATCGCTTAAAAACAAATTACATTGTTCAACAAAATCAAGCAAGAAATAAATAAATGTTACCTCAAATATGAATACATACAATATTTTACTAGTATGAATATATTAATTTAATGTATTGTTATAAAGTAAAAATAGTTTGAATAGTGATAGCTTATATGTATATCTATATAAGCAGAATAGGTTTATTATTTATTCTTGTTTTATGCTATTTTAATCTACTATTCACAAAGCATTGCAATATGATCACAGTTAAATAAATATAAATACAAAATTATATCGATATGCCAACCCATATAATTTCATCACAAATTATATTATAATATTTTGCTGAACAGTGTAACAGTGCAAAGGTCCATTATTTGCGATCACACTTATTCACACATGCAAGCACAATGTGCGAGTATACAGCTATAAAATGCACACACACTATCGCATACGCATGTTGGATATACATACATACATACCTATGTTTCTATGTGTGTATATTTGTTTGTACATATGAAATCACCGGCAAGTTATTCATTTTTCCATTGCGACGCATTAGTTAGCTAGAAACAAGCAGTTACAATTGAGTGGAGTGCAGCATTGGAAGAGCAACATTCGAAAAATGGCTGAAGAAAACACAACTAAAACTGCATTGAGAATTGCGGGTGCGGTCCTCTTGCCAAATTTAGGAGGCATGATTAATGGCCCATTGACGCGCAATCATTTGAAGACCTGGTATGCCAACCTAAACTTTCCATCATTCAGGCCGCCAAACTGGGTGTTTGCTCCCGTTTGGACATCGCTGTACGCGGGCATGGGCTATGCTTCTTACCTGGTGTGGCGCGACGGCGGCGGCTTCAGCGGTGATGCCCAGTTGCCCCTGATCGCCTATGGCGCACAGCTAGCGCTGAACTGGGCGTGGACTCCGATATTCTTTGGCAAGCATAGCATCAAGGGCGTAAGTGGAAGCTTTGTAGTTGACTTAATGTTATATTTCTTATCTATTCAATGCCCACCCATAGGGGCTTATTGACATTGTTGCGCTTACGGCAACGGCAGGCGCATGTGGGCTGCTCTTCTATCGCATCAATCAGACGGCCGGTCTTTTGTTTTTGCCATACATGGCCTGGCTAGGATTTGCCACTACATTGAACTATGCCATGTGGAAGCTTAATCCGGAGCAGCCCAATCAAGGTGAGCAAGCTGCTCCGTCGCGCAAGCAGCAATAATTGCTGATTTATACAGGTCATAAGGCTTTTGTTTTAAAATGTTTATTTTTCGATAGAAAATGTAATCGTCACAAAATAAAATCGCATCGGCATTATCGATAAATTGCAGAGTTGCATATGGGGCACACTGTCCATCATTCTGCTTCTTCATCCTCGCCGAACGTTCATTTTTGAAAATGCACTGAAATCATATTTAATTGGCGCCACCGCCGGGAGCTGCAGTGGGGGTCGTTGGTGTGCCTGCCTTAGGGGAGGCCGTCTTGGGCGAAGCACCCGCTTTAGGCGATGGCGACGCCTTGGGCGAGGCCTGCGAATTGGGCGTGTTTGCTGGCGTCTTCGGTTTGCCATCGTTCTGTCCACCAGCCTTTTGCTGTTGTTGAGGATTCATTTTAGTACCAGCTGGTTGCTGTTTTGGTGGCGAAGCCTTGTGTCCCTTTCCCTGCTGCTGTTGCTGTTGCTGGGTATTTGTAGGTTTTGGACCACTTGGTTTAGAAGCTTGAGTTTCAGGTTTGGGTGCAACCGCAGGCTTGGCTTGCTGTGGTTGCTTCTGCTGTTGTGGTTTGTTGCCACCCGAGTTCGATTGCGATTGCTTTTGACCTTGTGGTTGGGTTTGGCCAGGCTTGAGCTGCTGTTGTTGTTGCTGCTTTGGCTTTTGAGCTGCGTCCTGCTTTTTATTGTTAGGTGCAGCTGCCTGTTTTTGTGCAGATGCTACTGTTGGAGTGGCTGTGGGAGCAGGTGTTGTTGCTGGAGTAGCTGGAGCTACTGTCGGAGCAACTGTTGCTGGTGGAGTAGCTGGAGCTACTGTCGGAGCAGCTGTTGCTGGTGGAGTAGCTGGAGCTACTGTCGGAGCAGCTGTTGTTGGTGGAGTAGCTGGAGCTACTGTCGGAGCAGCTGCTGCTGGTGGAGTAGCTGGAGCTGCTGGGGGAGCAGCTGTAACTGGTGGAGTAGCTAGGGTTGCTGTAGGACCAGCAGTTGTTGGTGGAGTAGCTGGAGCTGCTGTCGCAGAGGGAGTAGTTGGAACTACTGCTGGTTTCTGTCCAGGTGCTACGGTAGAAGCAATCGTTGTTGGTGGAGTTGCTGAAGCTGCTGTTACAGGGGGAGTAGTTGCAGCTGCTACTGATTTTTGTTCAGGTGCAACAGTCGTTGCAACTGTGGCTGGCGCAGCAAGAGGCGCTGCAACTGCTGTTGGTGCTGCTACTGGAGCTAGAGGTGCTGCAATTGGAGCTTGAGTCGGAGCTGCTAATGGTGCTACTATTGGTGTTGGAGTTGACGTCGAAGGTGCTAATGGTGCTCCTTGTGGAGCTGAAGCTGCTGTAGGTTGAGCTGCAGCTGGAGGTGCCGTTGCTGATGGCTGCACTGCTAATGGAGCAGCATTAACTGGACCTACTGGAGCTGGTGGAGGAGTGACTTCTGCAGCTGCTGCAGGTGGAGTTGCTGGGGGCGTCACTTGGTTTGCCGGCGGAGGCGTCACTTGCTTGGCTTGTTTTTGAGCCTGTGCTGGAGCTGCCCCCTTCTTACTCTCTGATTTCTTCTCCTGCCCTGCTTTGGCTGCAGCTGGCTGCACTGGAGCTTTAGTCTCAGCTGGCGGCGTAATCTGCTTTGCAGGTGGCGGTGTCACTTGCTTAGGTGTTGCCTGCTTAGGCGAAGCAGCTTGTTGTGGGCTGACTTCTTTGGGCTCCGGTGCAGCAGCTGCTTTCGGCTTCTGCTTGATGTCGTCTACCTTTACCTCAGTGTTTGATGGAGCTGGTGCTGTCTTCTGCTCAACTGACTGCTCCGCTTTTTTCTCTTCCACGGGCTTCGGCGGCTCAGCGGCTACAATCTGCGCCAATGTTTGCATAGCTGGCGGTGTATTGGCTTTGGCAGCTGGAGCAGCACCAGGTGTAGCAGCTGGAGCTGGCTGTGACGCTGAACCGGGCTGGATCTTAGGTTCCACAGTTTTAGATTGGTCTGCCTTAGCATCGGGAGTCGATTTCTTTGCTTCCACCTTTTGATTATCCACAGCAATGGCTGCTGGCTTGACCTCCACCTTGGCTGCATCCAACTGATCCTTTTGCTTATTGTTCTGCGGCTCATCCTTCTTTATTGATGACTCCTGTTTCTTTGGCTGGCCTTTCTTATTGTCCTGTTTATCCTTGGGCTTTTCATTCGTATTGTTGGGCTTCTGTTGTGGTTGCTGCGGCTGCTGCTTCTGTTGCTGCTGCTGCTGCTGCTTCTTGCGCTCCTGTTTGCTGGGCTGCTGTGATTGCTTGTTGTCCGCTTGCTTGTTCGACTTCTTTGCATCCTGGGGCTTCTCTGTGGCAGGCTTTTGCTGCTGTTCCTTACCAACAGCTGCTGCCTCCTGCTTGGCCACCTCATCGAAGTCGCCCACCAAGTCGGGCACATCATCGTCATCGTCGGCCGCCTGAGCTGCTGCTGTGCCGCTCTCAGTGGACTTTTGATTGTTGGACATGGAGTTGGCGTACATCCGCAGCTGCACAACCGTCTCCTGGCCGAGCTGTGGCAGAATCTCTGGCAGCATTTCGACAATTTTCTTCGTTTCGCCGTGACCCGTGACGGCAAAGGTGTTCGCTGAGAGCGAGGCCTGAGCCTTGGGATTGTTGAAATGTATGACCGTGAGGTCATCCTTGATGATGTTGACCTCCTCAATGCCGGGTATGGTGCTCACCGAGAGCTTCTTCAAGGAGCTCTGCAGCTTCTTGTCATCGGTGGCCGCCGTCTGGTGCATGACCTTCTTTTTGCGACGGGGCGTGCCCTTGCCACCGATGCGCACCTGCGCCTGCAGCCTTTTCAGCTTCTCCACATTCATAGCGAGTCTCTAAAGTATATCCATATATGTATTAAAATATTACATAAAATTATCAAGCGATTACCTCAGATATATGTATCTATTCAGTTTTTGATCTGGTCCTCCGATGTGCAACTCCACATACGCAAGAGCCAAATGCGAATAAATGCAGCCGGGGCAAACCGATCCACAGCATAGAACGACCGACCGGCCGACCAGCGCCCAAAGCCCCCAAAGCAGCGCTGCTTTTATTAATAACGCAACTCGGCGAATCTTTCGCCTGCTTTATTTTTGTGGCACTTTTTGCATTTTTGTTTTTGCACGCAAAACAATAAAAATAAAATGCGAAAGCGAAAAGCGAAATACAAAAATGTCGCCCGACACTATAAATAGCCCAGATTCTCTGCCATGGCAGGCGGCAGCCGTTGCTACCAGTTGTTTAGTTTAGCCTGCCCATTTCTCTGCAGCTAGCCGTGTGGCAAAAACCAAACCAAACTAAAGTAAAGTAAAAGCAATGCAAAAAACCTCAGTTTGCAGCATCCTCAACGGCTGTTGAACTATTGCTGACGCACTGGACACGCAGACGCATCCGAGGCAGTGCGTCAAAAATAGACGAACTACAATCAACACACACATGCACACTGGTCAAACTTTCAATCTACGAGAATGAATACATAGGCATAGGCATATATATGATATATATATACATACATATACATATGTATATAGGAAATGCGTGTATTCAATTAAATTCACATATAGCTAAAAAAAAACAAGAACGAAAATTGATATACGTAATATCGAATGGATGAATACACTAGTAGACTTATGAATGATAGACAGAGATTTGGGATTTCATATATGATCTATCTATATAATAAACTATTGCGGTATATAAGATATTGGTCTATTTATAGTAGAGCTTATATTAACAAATGTTAAGTACATTTCGAAATCCCAAATAGTTTTCATACAATATTCAATTTCCTTGTTCCTATGACAATTTTATGATGTATCTAGCCAAGCAATGCCTCTTGAACGTACTAAAAGGCATACAAATCTGAGTGAAACAAGACAAATTTAAATTTGAGAGAATACTTGTTTAACAGAATGAAAATGAAATAAAATAAATGTACAGTACATACAGTATTCAGTGGATTCCTAGTTCAACGTATATTTACATAATTTGTTAAAGATATTTTAAATATAAAGAAAGGCATACGAACTTAATGACCCCGTTTCTTTGAGAATTATAGTTTTGTTTTGAAAATAGAGTACAGTAAAAGCTCGAAAAACAGACTAGTTATGATATTAGAATGCTAAGAATGTTCAATAATGATTTCAACAATTGGGATGATTTGTGTATTGGCAAAGAATATTTTTGTCTACCTAAAATGTACTTACATACATAGAAATATTGTTAGGTTACAGGTATAGACTTATTTGATTTCATAAATGAGACTAAGAACCTATACTGTATAACTATGGACACATCTCATATCCCTAAATAAAGTATTCCTCTTCTGCTTAAGCAAAAAATACTTAATGATTAGAAAGAATGATACAACCTACAAGTGTTTATGATCTTTAGCCACACGCATTGCGAATTCGTATATCTTTTTGATGTCGGAGTTCGCACAAGCAGCATAAATTTGCTTATGCATCTCCAGTTCCTGTTGCACGAGCGGTTCTATGTCTTTGTACTTATCCTCTTCTGCCTTCAGCTCAGCCAGCATAGCCAAATTCTGGAAATGCTTAAGTAATATTAGTACAAAGATTACCAGAAACTAAATGACAACAACCTGACGATAACGCAGCTTCAGCTCTTTGACCTGTGCAGCCTTTGCCTCTTCCTCTTCACTGGTGAACCGCTGTTCCAGCTCAAAGTCTTTGATCTGCAGCACATGCGGGGGTACTTCAAAATAAACTTTATCCATCTCACGCAGGCTATCAAGCTTTGACTGACAGGCTTGCATCATTAAGCTGATGACAGCATCCTTACTTTGGTCCAGTAAGGCCGTTGTTGCTGGTGTTTCAATTTTCTGTATCGTCGTCTTTACAGCTCGGCCGATGAGCGCTAGAACTAGACTGTCCCCTAAGAAAAAATATCAAACTGTTTAGATACTTGTTTTCATTATTAAGTACCACCTACTTTCAGCAGCTATCTGTTCTGGCGTGAAGTTAAAAAACTCCAAGTTGTATGTGCTCTGATTGAAATCCATTGCTAATGTTTTTTGTATTATTGTATTCAATACAAAAACGTAAACAAAATGGCGCTTAAATTGCGCGTATTAAATACAAGCCGATAAATCGAATGCAATGATATTCAGATAGCTATCGATACATTATTTGAGAATAGTTTTGGCCAGTGTGATTGAGAGTCGTTAAATTTTTAATATTTAAGACTGTTTTATTTTATTGGTACTGTTCAAAAGCATAAACACATTATTTGAGTATTCGTTTTGTGTCCAAAATTTTTTAAGTTCTCTCATCTTATTATTATTTATTATTATTTGCGAAATTACTTTAAAAATACCAAATTTAATACCAGTTTTAAGTGCTGTACAGTGCATAAGCAACAAATGCCCGCCAGTTAGATCCACTTGTTGTGATAACCACATGTAATTCATATAGGAGCTAACTATATTTATTGCTTGTCAAGAGCAGCATGAGTGCAAAGTCAGCATAATTATAATAATAATTCGCCATAAAGATTAGTTGATTGCTATCAATGCGTCGATGCTCCTCCCGCGTTTTTCGTGCGCTCACCCGCACATTTTCCACTAAACAACAAATTGTTGTGCATCCAGACGTGAGGCATGCCTTGGCCCAGAAGCAGCCTGTCGTGGCGTTGGAGTCGACAATTATAACGCATGGCATGCCAATGCCTGAGAATGTGGAAACTGCCCTACTTGTAGAGCAGGATGTACGTAAGAATGGCGCTGTCCCGGCTACCATTGGCATCATTGACGGATGCATCACGGTGGGATTAACGCAAAAGGAACTTATGGAGCTGGCGCGAAAGCCCCGCGAGCAAGTTATCAAATGCTCTCGCCGTGATCTGCCCTACGTAGTGAAAATGGGTCAGAGTGGTGGCACCACTGTGGCGGCTACCATGATTGTGGCTCATCGCGTTGGCATTCCCATCTTTGCCACCGGTGGTATAGGAGGAGTGCATCGTGAGGGTCATATTACGTTGGACGTTTCCGCCGATCTCGTCGAGCTGGGACGTACGCCGGTGGCTGTGATTTGCAGCGGCGTCAAGTCCATATTGGATATACCGCGTACGCTCGAGTATTTGGAGACGCAGGGCGTCTGCGTGGCTACCTATGCAAGTGAAGGTGGCGTCTTTCCCGATTTCTACACGCGGGACAGTGGATGCAAGGTTCCCTATAACCTGCCCACTGCGGAGCATGCTGCTCAACTGCTGCGTGCCTGGCAACAGCTCAATCTACAGTCCGGCGTACTCATAGGAGTGCCCATTCCAGTGGAGCATGCTGCCGACAAGTCGGCCATAGATGGGGCCATCAAGCAAGCCAATGCCGAAGCTTTAGCTCAAGGCATTACAGGAAAGGATGTAACACCTTTTCTGCTGGCGCACATCGCCCGGCTGACCAAAGGACGTAGCCTGCAGGCGAACATAGCGCTGATTCGGAATAATGCATCAGTGGCCGCACAAATCGCCTGCGAATTGGCGAAAGAACGAGGTTCCACTACGGGTCGAAAGAGTTCCACTAAGAAGCCTTTGGTGGTGGGTGCTTCGATACTCGATTTGTCCTTCAAGATTACTGAGAAGCGAAACTTGCATTTGGATGGCGCCACGTACTCGGGTGTGGCCAAGCAGGCAGCTGGCGGCGTTGGACGCAACATAGCCGAGGGCATCTATAAGCTGTATGGAGATGTTAATCTCATCTCGGCTGTGGGCAGCGATCAGTTGGGACAAATACTGCGTCAGCTGATGCCACAGACTCTGCAACATGGCCTCATTGTGGATGAGAGCCATTCCACATCCCTCTGTTCGGTGGTGTTTGACCAGTCAGGCGACTGCAAGCTCATCCTGGGTGATATGGAGGTGCACAACAGCATCACGCCGCAGTTACTGAAGGAGCGATCTGACCTTTTTCGAGATGCGCCGCTCATTGTGATGGATAGCAACATTTCTGAGCAGGCGATGACCTGCACGTTGGAGCTAGCTGAGCGCTTCCAAGTGCCCATTTTCTTCGAGCCCACTGACATGTTCATTGCCGGCAAGCCGTTCAAGCTGCGTCCAGAGCTCACGCGGCACATTCGACTGACCAAGCCCAATATGCACGAGCTCAAGACCATTGTGGAGACCATCACGGGGCAGTCTGTCAACTGGGAGCCCAATACGAAAGTGGAACGCTCAGAGCTTTTGGCGCAGGCCAAACAGCTGCTCCACCAAATCGAATCCCACTTCAACTGTATCATTGCCACTCTGGGGGCGCATGGTGTGCTGCTCAGCATTCGCTCCGATGCCGCACACGATACGAGCAAGCTACTCTCACTCTCGCCCAGCTGTGAGCACATCACGCACTTCTATGCGGCACCAAAACTGAGCAACATAGTCAATGTCTCCGGCGCCGGCGACAGTTTCTGTGCGGGCTTTATCACAGCGCTGCTCAGGTCGCACAGCTTGGACGAGTGCGTGGCAGCGGGATTTGTGTCTGCCGAGCGAGCTCTACTCTCGGAGTCGGCGGTTCCGTCCACCTATTTCCAGAACGAACTGGCATTCGAGAACAGCCTGCGGGACGCTTTGCAAACGCTGCAACGGCACAGGCTCTAAACTAGACTGACAGGCGGAACGCGAGGAGTTGAACTCGGGGTTCTAATTTTATTGTTTAAATACATGTATAAGATTATATCGATGCTCCATGGGAAAGTGCGTCAATGGGCCCATCTGCAAGAATGGCAATAAATGTGATTAATTTTGACTTGAATATAAATGCATAGATCTTTTTTAGACTTACAACTTGATCACCTTGTCCTTTCCGCCAGAGGCGACACGCGAGCCATCGGGCGCCCAATCTACGCCAAAAACTTCGTCCGCATGGCCGGGCAGCTCCTGTGCCAGCTTTTTGCTCTGCACGCTCCAAACTATAGTGTTTAAATAGAAATTATATATCTAGTCGAACAGTTATATAAGCAACAGGTTTACCCTTCAGCGTAGAGTCCTTGCTGCCGGACACAATCAGACGCGAATCCGCCGACCAGGCCAGCGTGTAGACAGCCTGCACATGGCCACGGAATGTGGCTATAAACTGGCCATCGTGGGCGCGCCATAGACGCACGGATTTGTCGAAGGACGCGGAGGCGATCAGTTTGACATCCGGCGAATATTTGACATCGTTCACAACATTCTGGTGGCCAGTCATGCGTTCCACGCACTTGTTCTGATTGTTGCGCCACAAGTATAAGGTGTTGTCGTCGGAGCAGGAGACTAGCGACTCTACATCATCCGGGCAAACAGCTTGGTAGCGCTTTAAAGCAGCTGCACGTAGCTCCTCAGCTGGAAATGGATTTGGTTTAATACGGCAATTCGAGAGATACGCAGAATCACTCACCATCCTGCTTGATCTGTGCCATTTGGCGATCCTTGACCGGCTGAAAGGGTCCAGTGCGCAGAACGTAGTCCGTGCTCAGCGCAATGTTGTTCACCCAATGCGCATGGCCAGTGAAGGTGCGGCAGAGCACGCCATCATCGGCACGCCACATCTTGATGGTGCGATCCTTGGACGAGGTATAGATTAAGCCAGCGCCGCCCCAGCGGACGGCTGTCACTGCGTTCGTGTGCCCCGCAATGTTGAGCAGACACTGTCCCAGCTTGGTGTCCCAGATGCGGCAATCTCCATCGCTACTTACCGAGGCAAGTTTGCGGCATTCAGGATTCTGATGATAGGGCTCCCAGCTTAGGCAATTAATGTGCTTCTTGTGTCCGCTGAGTGTGCGGCCCACCTGTTGACCTGTCTCTGGATCCCAAATAATAATTTTTCCTGCCTTACAGGCGCTCGCCAGACGCTTGCCATCCGGAGCCCAGGCGACGCACAACACCCACTGCTTATGGCCACTGCAGGTGTAGTGCGGTGTCTCTGTATTGAGATCCCATAGGCGCACTGTTGTGTCGCCACTGCCACTGGCCAAGTGTGCTCCGTTGGGGCTAAAGTGCAGCGACACTATCGCCTCGGCATGGCCTGGCATAGAGCTGGTGCAACGCGTCACAGGCCGAACCTTGAAAACTGCCTGTGGCTGATAGACTATATCGATCACATTTTCTGTGTCCACTGTGCTTAGGTCTAGTGTCTCCTCCAGTGACTTCTTGATCTCATCGTCGCCGACAAAGAACAGATAAGGCGTCGCCTCCTCATTCTTGAGCAATGCATTGCAGATGAGCCCCAGTTGCTGTGTTGTGATGCCTGATGGCAGATCTATGGGCGGACCCGCTTCTTCGCCTGTGTCGGATATGAGGCGTGCTTGCAGTGTGTGTGGCGTGGATAACATCTGTTCGGTTTGATCTCCCATTTTCTGCTTTTTTGCCAACATTTTGCGAAGTGGAATGTCGAAGCAGCGCGAGCGAATCAAAACAACAAAATCAAAACACGTGCGCTACTAGACTGTTGGACTTAACAGAAGACAAAAGTGTTAATAACAGTGGGAACAGTTTGGCCAACAAAACGATTTGCATTATTAAGAAGGCATAGTGCATGAGGCATTCTAAGCTTAAGAAGTGTAAATAAATTATGATTTCTTTTAAAATATATATCAACGAAAAAGTTTTTGTCACATATAATTTTGTATATTATCGCTCCAGTTTTAACAGTGCTATGCGAGTCAAGCAATAACACTGATATCGAGCATCGACGGTTGGAACCCAATTAGGTGCTGTATAACGTGTTTTGTATGTTGGTATTTTACAGCACTGTCGCATAATTTTCATGTACGCGTTTTTCATACGTTTGTTGCCTAAAAATTGAATAAAATGGAAAATATTCCGCGTACTCATGAAGGTAAGTGAATATTAAATGCAATTAAGGGGCGCAACAACTCAGACTAACATGTTTTGCTTGTAGCGTGTTTAAAAACAGACAAAGCATACGTGCGGCGCCCGAGTTGTTTCCGCTATACCGAGAAAATCAATTTTATTATATTAAAATCGTATTACAGATATTGAGGCGCAAATATCGGATATACAGGCCAAGAAGACTGAGCTGGCTAAGAGCAATGCAGCAGCCGCCGGTGTTGGTTTGCTGGACAGTGGTGGCTTCTTTGACACCGACTTGTACGACGATGAGGCGGCTGTTGGAAAGGGGGCCAAAGGGCGCTATGAGGGTTACAATACGTCGATAGCGGCCAATGATGAGGATGGCGACGAGGATGAGGAGGACGATGGCTTCCCAGTGCCGCAGAAGCGCACCACATACACGGCACCCACGTCCGTATTGAAGGATGTGACCCAGGGCAAGGAGGACGTTGACCCAATGGCTGAGCACCGGCGACCGACCATAGCAGATCGCGAGGATGAGTACAGACAAAAGCGGCGACGCATCATCATTTCGCCCGATCGTGCCGATCCCTTTGCTGATGGCGGTAAAACGCCCGATGTGGGATCTCGCACCTATACAGACATTATGCGTGAGCAGATGCTAAAGGGCGAGGAGTCTGAGCTGCGGCGTCGCATCATGGAGAAGTCTAAGGAAGGTACACTGGTTAAGTCCTCAAATGGAGAGTCTGTAACAAAAGAAGGTGGACGCAAGCGAGGACGGTGGGATCAGACGGTCAGTGACAGTTTCATTCCCGCTAAAGTGGCAGCCACGCCCAGCAGCGCTGCAACGCCAACCTGGGAAGACGTGAGTAAACATAAATTAACCGTGAAACTAAGCAGACAAAATAAAATATATTATTCTTGTAGAAAACACCCGGAGATCATCGGTGGGATGAGACACCTGGCCACAAGGGCAGTGAGACGCCGGGTGCTACGCCTGGACTGGGCACACGTATTTGGGATGCCACACCGGCTCATGCAATGACACCTGGTCACGAAACGCCTGGCCATGAGAAGTCGGCACGTAGAAATCGTTGGGATGAAACACCAAAGACGGAACGGGAAACGCCCGGGCACAGCGGCTGGGCAGAGACACCAAAACCGGATCGCACTGGAAGCGGCGCCGGCGAGAGCATCTCAATCGAATCCACTCCGGGGGCTTCTAAGCGACGGTCGCGTTGGGATGAGACACCCTCGAATGCCACGCCGGCAATTACACCGAGCAATGCTAGCGCAATGACTCCGAGCATGACGCCTCATGCGACGCCTGGCCATGCCACGCCCCTGATGACACCCGGTGGCAGTACGCCCGTGGGCGTAAAGGCAATGGCCATGGCTACACCTACACCAGGAGCACTAGCTGCCATGACACCGGAGCAGCTCCAAGCCTATCGCTGGGAAAAGGAAATTGATGAACGCAACAGACCCTACACTGACGAGGAGCTGGATCAAATGTTTCCGCCAGGTTACAAGATATTGCCGCCGCCGGCAGGCTACGTGCCACTGCGAACACCGGGTCGCAAGCTTATGGCCACACCCACGCCCATAGCGGGCACACCAGCTGGCTTCTTCATCCAAGTGGAGGACAAGAATGCCAAGTTTATGGACAACCAGCCGAAGGGCCAGAATCTGCCGTTCATGAAGCCCGAGGATGCCCAATATTTTGACAAGTTGCTCGTGGATGTCAACGAGGATGCTCTGTCGCCCGAAGAGCTCAAGGAGCGCAAGATTATGAAGCTTCTGCTGACCATTAAGAACGGTTCGCCGCCCATGCGTAAATCGGCTCTGCGCCAGATGACGGACAAAGCGCGTGAATTTGGCGCCGGTCCACTGTTCAATCAAATTCTGCCGCTGCTCATGTCGCCCACCCTGGAGGATCAGGAGCGGCATCTGCTAGTGAAGGTCATCGATCGCGTGCTCTACAAACTGGATGATCTGGTGCGGCCGTTCGTGCATAAGATCTTAGTGGTCATTGAACCGCTGCTAATTGACGAGGATTACTATGCGCGCATTGAGGGCAGAGAGATCATTTCGAATCTAGCCAAGGCAGCCGGTTTGGCCACCATGATCTCCACAATGCGACCGGATATTGATAACATTGATGAGTACGTGAGAAATACGACTGCGCGTGCCTTTGCCGTGGTCGCATCCGCATTGGGCATACCCTCGCTGTTGCCCTTCTTGAAGGCCGTTTGCAAGTCCAAGAAGTCCTGGCAAGCTCGTCACACGGGCATCAAGATCGTCCAACAGATTGCTATACTTATGGGCTGCGCCATATTGCCACATCTGAAGGCGCTGGTGGAGATTATCGAGCACGGATTAGTCGATGAGCAGCAAAAGGTGCGCACAATCACGGCTTTGGCCATTGCAGCGCTGGCCGAAGCAGCCACGCCCTATGGCATTGAATCCTTCGATTCGGTGCTTAAACCCTTATGGAAAGGTATTCGGACGCATCGTGGCAAGGGATTAGCCGCCTTTCTCAAGGCCATTGGTTATCTTATACCCCTAATGGATGCCGAATATGCCAACTACTACACCCGTGAGGTCATGTTGATTCTCATACGTGAGTTCCAGTCGCCCGACGAGGAGATGAAGAAGATTGTGCTGAAGGTGGTAAAGCAATGCTGTGCCACAGACGGTGTGGAGCCGCAGTACATCAAAGAGGAGATTCTACCGCACTTCTTCAAGTTCTTCTGGAATCATCGCATGGCCCTGGACAGACGCAATTATCGCCAGCTCGTGGATACTACCGTGGAAATTGCCAACAAAGTGGGCACCTCCGAGATCATAAATCGTGTTGTAGACGATCTGAAGGATGAGAATGAACAGTATCGCAAAATGGTCATGGAGACAGTGGAGAAGATTATGGGCAACCTTGGCGCGGCTGATATTGACTCCAGGCTGGAGGAGCAGTTGATCGATGGCATACTCTATGCCTTCCAGGAGCAGACCACAGAGGATGTGGTCATGTTGAATGGCTTCGGTACTATTGTTAATCAGCTGGGTAAACGCGTCAAGCCGTATTTGCCACAGATTTGCGGTACGATTCTCTGGCGTCTGAACAACAAATCCGCCAAGGTGCGTCAACAGGCGGCGGATCTCATCTCCCGCATTGCTGTGGTCATGAAGACCTGTCAGGAGGAGAAGCTGATGGGTCACTTGGGTGTGGTGCTCTACGAATACTTGGGCGAGGAGTATCCCGAAGTGTTGGGCAGCATATTGGGCGCCCTCAAGGCAATTGTGAATGTCATTGGCATGACCAAGATGACACCACCCATCAAGGATCTGCTGCCCCGCCTCACTCCCATTCTTAAGAACAGACACGAGAAGGTGCAGGAGAACTGTATCGATCTGGTCGGTCGCATTGCCGATCGTGGACCCGAGTATGTTTCAGCCCGTGAATGGATGCGCATCTGCTTTGAGCTGCTGGAGCTGCTTAAGGCACACAAGAAGGCGATTCGACGCGCCACCGTAAACACCTTTGGTTACATAGCCAAGGCGATTGGCCCACACGATGTGCTTGCCACTCTACTGAATAACCTGAAGGTCCAAGAGCGTCAGAATCGTGTCTGCACCACCGTCGCCATTGCCATTGTGGCCGAGACATGTCGCCCGTTCACTGTGCTCCCGGCCCTGATGAATGAATACCGTGTGCCGGAGCTGAATGTGCAGAACGGTGTCCTGAAATCATTATCCTTTCTGTTTGAGTACATTGGCGAGATGGGCAAGGACTATATCTATGCAGTGTGCCCGCTGCTCGAGGATGCGTTAATGGATCGCGATCTGGTACATCGCCAGACAGCCTGCTCGGCCATCAAGCACATGTCCCTGGGCGTCTATGGCTTTGGTTGCGAGGATGCGCTCACTCACTTGCTCAACTATGTGTGGCCCAACATATTCGAGACATCGCCGCATCTGGTGCAGGCCTTCATGGACGCGGTGGATGGCCTGCGCGTCTCATTAGGTTCAATTAAGATCTTGCAGTACACGTTACAGGGCCTGTTCCATCCGGCGCGGAAGGTGCGCGATGTTTACTGGAAGATCTACAATTCGCTGTACATTGGCGGGCAAGATGCGCTAATTGCGGGCTATCCTCGCATCACTAACGATCCGAAGAACCAGTATGAACGCTATGAGCTGGACTACACGCTCTAAGCAGCCCTACTCTACTCCTACCCCCTTCTCTATAACCCTTAATTTTACTGTAATTTTGATAAGATGAATACACAAATATAGCACGAATGTACAAAACGAGTATTTATTCTACATTTTTGTTTAAAGAAGCCACGTGTGAGCCGTTGCTAATGTGGACCAGAGCTGTAATATATGTATATCATTTATTACCAGGAAATACTTTTTGATTACCAGGAATTTCAAGTTGACAAACTTTAATTACCAATGTGATTTAATTACTTCCTTTTATTACACGACGCATCGTGTTTAATAACCTGCAATTACTTGCATATAATGTCAATTACTGAGCGTTCTCAATGGAATTTAATCATTGCTAAGTTTATCAAATGTATATGAGCTGTATGTAATTCACTTTTTTTTTATTCTGTAGTTACTTGTGTAAATGCAGCTAAATACTAGCAATTACGTATGCCTACTGCATTGGTAATTAAAGATTAATCTACGCGTATGCAGTTATTATATAATTACTTTTCAATTACATATTTACTTCTTTGAGTAATGAGTTTTGAGTTGTGGCTTCGCTACTGAGCAGTTGGGAAGTTATTGTAATGAAATTTGATTTATCGAGTAATTTTTAGTTTACAAAAATGTCTTTTCTTTTCAACTAGTTAATTACAGCTCTGCTGTGATCTTTTGGCTTAGTGGTAATACAAATGTGTGTTTGTGTGTGTGTTGGACCCGCCGGCTGAGGAGTCTCTCTGTTATTCTTATAGGTGGAGCATCGCCTCGACTATATCGATGAGGCTCTGTAGCCCGAACATATAATTGTGATCGGGTTGTCCATCTTCGGCCGGGAAGATGTGAGCGAAATCGATGCAGCGCACGCGTATCCAGTCTTTCGATTTGGTGGGCAGGACAGGCTCTGCGGCATCCGCATGAAAGCCATTGTGCAGCGACACTTTGGAGTTGGACGTAGCCAACTTCTGTAGCTGCTCGAAGTCGTAGCAGATGAGCAGAGAGCTGGCGTAGAAGTGAAATAAACGCTGTCGTTTAAACCAGTTGCGTATGGAGCGCAGCTGGTTTAGCACCTCGTGGAGAAGTATATTGCTGGAGCTGCAGCTGGCATTGAAGAAGAGGGCCAATGCCTTCTGAAAGCCCATCACGTCCAGGCTTTTGCCATAGTCTCGACCCTTGCGAATCAGTACAGTATGTTCGGGTTGCTGTTCATCCGGGCAATAAACCTGAAAGCCGGGCAGGCATAGGCCCAGATTCTGTTTGCAAAGCGCATACTTTTGCTCCTCGATGGTGCGCTTCTGCAACGATGACAATGGATCCCAGGTGCGTCGGCCAATTTTCACATCCATGACACACGGCTTGGCCATGCCGTGTGTCAAGTCTTCTAATTTGATAAATGTGTGCTCACGCTGATTAACAACCAGTTTGAGTTGGCCATAATAGCGGGGGACGTGAGCTGCTAATGCGGCGAGCAGTGACTGATCCGTTTCGTCTTTCCCCTCACCACCTGCGCCATTCAGGTTATTGGCACCGGCGTCTGCCTCGGCTTGTGTCGCAATTGCCGCCGCCAGTGACTCATAGAAATTGAGTTCACGTACGCCGCACTCAGGTTTGCCGAGCGGCTTGAAAACGCAGCCCTCACCGGCGTCTTGAAGCAGCCCGACGGCGGCTGCATTGGTGGCCTCGAATGTGTGGCCAGCCACCTGGGTTAGCAGCTGAGAGTAGCCCATAGGTACAACTGGCGATGCTGTCACCTTTTCTTGTGCTTTTTTGGCCATGTTCCGTCTGTCTGGCACTCAAAATCAAAAGCAACAGCAACAACTGCAACAAAAACAGCGCAAAACTAGAGCAGTGTTGTGAAGTGCGCGGCTGATTATAATAGTGGTTTTCTTTTTCATACAAAACTGAAAGTTCATTAATGAATGAAAATAATTAACTTTAAGTTAATTTTAAACAATTACAAATACGTCTTTAGTTGCAGAGCAGCATCTTACTTATGGCGGCAATTTATAAAAATCAGTGCTGCGAATTCTTTGCAGCAACTTGTTGTTCACCTATCGCAATAACAGCAGTAAGTGCTTATCGTTATCGAGCAGCCTCTATCGATATCGGACGCTGCTGTTGTGGGAGTTGTCCAATTTGTGTTGTTGCTTTTATACGCACATATTTTCTAAGTTTATTTACCAATTTGTTATTGCGTTTTACTGACTTAGCTTGCACAACTGCGAGCTGCATGATGAAATCCTGGGAAATAGCTGTGCTGCTGCTAGCGGCCGTGTACCTGTGCAGTCAAGGTAGGTCTACAGCCACACCTTAATTAAGAAACAAACGCAATGACACATGTGAGACAATTTGCAGTGGATTTTGTGCAGGGACTCGAGTGCTATGTCTGCTCCAACCAGACGGGCAACACAGAGAAGTGCCTCAACACTATAAAGACCTGCGAACCGTTTGAGAATGTCTGCGGCACTGAAATACGCTGGGGCAGCCAGCCCTACTTCTCCGAGGGCGCTCTCAAGCAATACTACGTCTCCAAGCGCTGCATGACCAAGGAGCAATGCCAGTCGAAGCGCCGACGCTACATGCAAATGTATTGCACACACATCTGGTACGAGGACTGGGCGTGCAACGAGTGCTGCCAGGGCGACAGGTGCAACTACTTCATTATCGTAAGTTGTTAGTTGGCCTATGCTGTGTCTCTTTATTAATCTGTTGAATCTTGCAGAGCGGAGCGACGGGTCAACAGAGTCACATGGTTAAGTTCTTAGCTCTGCTTCTGGGCCTGGGACTGCTGATAAGGCGTGGCATCATGCCCTAGAGCTCAAATGAAGCTAGTTTCCAGCTATTTCTTCTACGCACATTCACATTCCAAGGAAGCTAAGTAATTGTAATTGTAAAACCTTCTCATTTTGTCCACTAGCTAGTAGTTACCACTGTATGCCGTCCATTGTATGTACATTTTGTATGTAGCTGACAAGCTCAAAGTGCCTTCACACTCTCTGTTTTACTTGTATATGTCTAAGGCTTGTTAAAGTTTATAGTTTATATTTAAGATTGTAAATGAATTACAGATTGTAATATACATATGCTGCCTCTATAGACCTGTCTAATTATGTGCAGTGAGGGCTATTAGCACAATTCCCAAAGTATCAAAGGTAGCATATACAATTCCAAAGTAAAGCTTAAGCTGGATTTTTATGCTGCTGCTAAATTCTTTGCAATCTCGACATATTAACTAAAACTTTAACATGTTCTTATTAGTTTTTAGTCCACGAACTCGAATCATATGAAATTCTCGAAGATTTTTAACACAAGCCCTTTTTAGGTAACGATTTTTGAAATAGATAAACGTACAAAAAAGCTAAAAACCAACGGTGTTTTCTTTAAGCGGTCTCCTGTGCAATTGTTTAAATATTATATTTCATATATCATCATAAAAGTCATTCATTTAGCTAGTTGGTGCAGAAGCAGCCTGCAGTGACAGTCACCGTCTTGAATTGCCATTGCCAGAGCGGTGTCACCTCCTCGGGCATCCACAGACGCGCCGATGAGGAGGCCGCCTTTGGTGTCGCCTGATCTGGGCCCAGTGTTAACACCTTCACCTTATACTCGAGCGGCTTGCAGTTGGAGCCGTGCATGCACTTGGCATCCTGAGCTGGACGGGACTCGCAAATGGCGCTCATCAGATAGCGAGGAAATGATGTGCTGCCCAAGTCAATGAGATCGTTCTGCATTGACAGAGATTTATAAACTGACTTTATTAAAGATATGTATAAATTCTATCGTTAGCCTTACCATAACTTTGCAATCGCAGCCGGCGGCGTGTGCATCATTGCGTTTGCTGGTCAGCAGATCCTCGTAGAAATCATTGTAGTACATCGGCGGCAGCTGGTAGGGCGTTAGTGCCGCCTCCGTTGGACGTGTGGTGGGCGGTACAGTTTCCGCGCTGGCAGGGCGGCCAAAGAGCGCATTCAACATCTTGGAAGTGCTCTGATCAGCTTCCGTTTCGATTGCCTCAACTGGCAGCTCGTTGCCGTCTCTGCCGCTGCCGTCTCTGCCGCTGCCGCCGCCACCGCACTCTTGGACGCCGAGCAGACGACTGCAGCGCTTAGGCATGCTGCGGGCGAGCATTGGAGCAGTCAGCTCGTCGTAGGCAACAAAGCGATTGCTGCTGATGACGCAGCGCAGCGCCAGCGCCGCTAGCAATGAGGCCATCTGCAAGGAAATTGTTTCATTAATACACTGAGAGAAAAACGAACACTTTTCAGATATGCAAAAATGTGAAGAATTGCCGATCTTGATATTTTAGCTGTTAGTCTGAACTTTAAAATTTTCAAAGTATTCTTTTTAGTATTTGATCAAAAAAGAAACTTTCAGTTTATAAATTTGTTGTTGCTTAATTCAAGAACATTTCAACTTAAACTCATACTTAACACAATTTTCGATCGAAATGAGAAATACTCTTCAATACTCTTCACTGTTTGCCGTGTTGGACTCACCCAGAGCATGGCTGGAACCGAGCTGCTGCAGAGTTTGGCTACGTTTGCGACTCTGATGGCGTTGGTGGGGCGTTTATATAGCCGCTGGCCAGCTGGCCGAACAAAGGCGGCCAAATGCTCGGATTACCTTTTGTGTGGCCCAGGCATGTCCATTATGGCCCGTCACCTGGACAGCAGCAGCAACAGCAGCAGCAACAGCAGTAGCAGGAGCTGCCACAGCATCCGAGCAGCTAAACAAAAGGCTCAACTGTTGACATAATAACAAAAGACTCTGGTGGTTGGGTGGCCGCTTCAGTTTTGGGGAGCCTCAAGTGTGGAGAGCCTATTTATAGCTGGACACTGGCTTTAAGTTTCAGCTATTCGAAGTGTTGATGCGTATGACCGAAAAAAAAGAGGAAGAAGGAGAAGAAGTAGAAAATATGAAGAAGCAGCAACAAATAGTGGGAATACCCAGTGACCCAGACATTTGCAACCACCTACCGCCCAACCACTTGAGCAGCCAGCAGGCTAAGAGCTATGAGCTCATGGACTGCGCGTCTAGCACTAAAAACTCAGGTGCATTTCTAGCTGCCCCAAGGGGTAGGTGCTAAGTGTGTGTGTGCTAGTATAGGTGTGTGAGTGTGTGTGTGTGGCAGCTAGTTGTGGGGCTTCACTGTATGACGAGAAAGTCGCGCAAACGCCAATCCACCCAGTGGCTCGTCAGTTGAATGCGCGTCGTTGCCCCGCACGGTGGGGCGCAGTTATATATAGAATATACACGTATATATATATATCATCTACAACAATATATATATGTGCGCTCACAGTTGGACATGCACTGGCAGGCACGTGCAAGCGCTGCTCAAACTGTTTGCGTGAAGGAGTTAAAGGCCGGGACGATTGCCAAAAATATTTCCAGCTAAATCAAAACTTCGTGTTGTTGTTGTTGTTGTTGATGGTGGAGCGTGTACAGTTATCCGCTTGACTTGGTGCAGGGGCGGAAGCCCTAGTTGTGCTGCCCCCTTGTTCTTGTTGCTGTAGTCGCTGGAAATCGTTAAAAAGCATAGAAAAGTTGCGACTATGTCACGAATTGCCGTCGACTAAAAAATAAAACAAAAACCCAAATAAAAAAATAAAAAATAAAACACTCACGCTTGAACAGCAAAGAGAGAACTGTAGAGCAAATCGCAGCCCAGTCGGCACTCAGGATACGCATGGACAAAGGCACAATGAAGCGCAAGCAGCGTCGATACAGGTAAGCCAGGCTGATATGCCATACAGTGTGTGGGTGTGCTTCATGATTGCACTTGATTCGCAGAACCACATTCAATACACTGCAGCTGCAGGAGCTGGAACGCGCCTTCCAGCGCACTCACTATCCGGACGTATTCTTTCGCGAGGAGCTGGCCGTGCGCATCGAGCTGACGGAGGCACGCGTCCAGGTCTGGTTTCAGAATCGTCGAGCCAAGTGGCGCAAGCAGGAGAAGATGGGCGGCGAGTACGAGAAGGGCGCCGGACTCGAGCTGGATGTGGCGTTCGATGATAGCGCCGTGCTGGGCCAACTGGACAGCGCACTGGGTGAGTAGCTGCTGGCCAGACGATCATGGCTGATCTAGGCTAATGCATCCTCAATTTAACAGCTGGCGGTGGCACACTGCTGCCGGATACGCCGCCGCAGTCTTCCAATTCGCTGGACAACGAGCTGAAGGCGCCCTTTGGCACCGGCTGTGTCTCGCCCTCCCGGCTGTCGCCCAACATCTTTCTCAATCTGAACATTGATCACTTGGGCCTAGAGCGTGGCGGCAGCGGCCTGTCCATGGAGTGGTCCACCTACCCGCCGTCCACAACTGCCGCGCACTCCACACACCAGCATGAGCAGGAGCAGCAGCAGGAGCAACAGCAGCAACAACAACAGCAGCAGCAGCAACAACAATTGCAGCAGCAGCAATCGGAGCAGCAACAGGTCTGCACGCTGCAGCATCAGGCGTTGGCGAGCGCCTTTGGCGCCTCTCTCGATCTGGATCTGAACGATGGCTCCTCGGCCTACGATGAGATGAAGTTTCTCAGCGTGGATCAGTTTACGATCGACAGCTTCAAGGCGGACTGCATACTCAGCATGGAGCACAGCCTGGCGCTGGATGACAAGCAGCATCATCAGCAGCAGCAGCAGCTGGGGCAGCTGGAGCAGCCGCCGCATTCGCTGATCAATTCGACGTCCTTCGAGTCGCAGGACAATGCAGCACTGCACTCGCTCTGCCTGGACGGCATGGGCGTTGGCTTCGGCGGCCTCTCGCTGCTCTCCTCCCACGTTACGGACATTGTGGCTGAAGCGGCGCCCAAGTCGCCGCCATCGCTGCTGGTGCTGGACAAGACGCTGCCCTCGCTGAGCATCGGTGTGGATGGCATCAGTGAGCTGGTCGAGCAGCTTCAGCAGCATCAGCAGCACCAACACCAGCACCAGCATCAACACCAACATCAACAACAACACCAGCATCATCATCATCATCAGCATACGGATGTTGGTGTGGGCGGCAGCAATATAGTCTAATCGCAAAATTTTTGATTAACTTAGGCGAATTCATTATCCATAGTTCATGTTGTACGAGTCTAGCTATAATTTTTGGATCCAAATGTTCTTTTCAATATTTTATTATACATATATCATGGTGGCTATGCGTTGTCCGATTCCTGGTTTCGTGGAGTCCTATTATAAGGACTCTGTTTAAGGCATTCGATGTCTTGGCTGGTCCCCACAAAAATGTAGGAAAGGACCTCCATTTGGTTATAGCGTTCTCTGGCTATAACGTCGTAAAATAATAATAAATATAGCCGGATGCTACTGTACAGTATACATATATTACGATCTAAAATGCAGAGAGCTCTAGCACTAATAAGATAATCTACTAATATATTTGATATATCTGTGGTCTATCTCTGCTTGCCAAGGAATATAGGCATAGAGGGATTGTAGAGTATATATAACGTATTTATCTTCTTCTTTAAAAAACCTGACCTGAACCTTACCTGAATGCATAAGTAATTTTCTTTATAGAAATCGGATATAACTTATTTTATATGCTATATTTGTTATTGAAAAGATCATTCCATCTTCGGCTTACGTCGAGTGCAAACCTAAATTAATTCCTAGGTCATTTACCTAGGCGAGTTCTAAATATAGTTAATGTTATGCCATTGTAGCTATGATTTTTAATAACCATGC